TCATTATTTCTCATGAATTGAGAAATATATTATATATTATGATATTTTCTTTTACTATATGTGGTTGTCTCTGCTTAGAAAGAAATGAGATATCTTGTTGCGACGATCCGGTTTTACTCCTGGCCTAGTGGGATGATACTATGATGAAATCTCGTGACTTAATAATTTATGAATTATTTAATTAGAACATATATAATTTATAATATTCAATAAATTAATTAAAGATAAGATTTGAAAAGAAGATTTCTTCCATAAGTAAGAAGAACGAAGAATGTGTATGTTAAGCGTAGGGTCAACAACTACCTACCTACTCAACAGAGTAATTTCATACTGATCCCATTTTAAAAATGTGTTATATGATTAGACAAGGTATTTATTACCCTTCTTTAACTTTCTACAAACATTTCTAAAATCCTTGGAAGATCTTGGCATAACCCAAAATATTATACTTTTTATAAACTTTTTATTATTGAAAGCTTATTGGTTTACAAACTATTCAATATAGTTAAAATTGTAAAACCAAAACATATAATCCGATGTTTCACAGATTGTTTGTACACTTCTTGAGGTGCAAATTGACATTGAACTATTGTTTGTGAAAATAAATAACAAAATATTTTTCGGTGTTTGCACATTTATTTAAATATTTTATGTATGAAAAAATGTTATTACTCACAGAGTGGTATTTTCTGACCCATTAAGGTATTCAAAAGAACTTTTTAAAATGGGCTTTTTTTCGAATCTTTTTTTAGCCCAATTGTTTTACCGGAACCTTTCGAAATTTGAGCCGAAACATGTTCAACTATTCAATTTTTTTGAATAGAGGGATTAAATTGGGTGTACTGTGTAATTTCACTATATTACTAAGATATCAAAGTTTCGTGAGATTCCACCCACTGCAACACGTACCCGCAATATAAAATGTTCATAAAATAATTTTTATTTTTGCACAAGTTAACGATTCCAACTCTAGTGGCAAACATTAACTGAACTAATCATGAGAAACAGCCTTATTCAATATATAAAAGTTATAATACATTGAAACTATAGGTAACAGTTTCCATAATATTCCCGGAACGCCTAATTAAACGAAATAATATTTCATCAACAATGCCATACAATTTGTTAAGATTGTTTTGTTACGTATTCAAAAGCGATATCACAATATCAATTGCCACTTTCAATTTCTTATTAAAAAACAGTGCGATTTGAAACATCAATTAATCATTTAGAAAGAAAGACACTTATCTGACGTATAGGATAATATATCGGAAACTTAATGGGATACGAATAAGGGTCTTAATCAGCATACTAAGCGAGCACATTGTCGTAGTTTGCGGTTTATGTAACCAACCACTGAGTATATGGTAGACAGATTCTTAATCTGAAAATTTTCTCTTATGAATATTATAAAATAAACTCTAATCACAAGTGTGGGTAATTTCTTAGGCAATTATATCTAGTACCCTGCGCTTTATTGCCACTTTGAAGTAGTTCTATAATTAACTAAACTTAATGTTCCATTTTAAGTAGTTGTAGCATAATGGACCGTAAAGTTTGATTGACTAATTAGACTGGCTGCCACTGTAACCGAATCGAACCTTAAAAATACTCAATGTATAGAAAAAAATTAGTTTCTGGAAGTTCTCTCTTATGAATATTATAAAATTAACTCTAACCAGATGCGGGGTTAACTTCTTAGGCAATTATATCCTTAGTACCATGCGATTTCAAAATAGTTTTATAATTAATTAAACTTAAGGTTCCATGTTAAGTAGTGGTACCACAATGGATCGTAAAGTTTGATTGGTTAATTGGACTAACTGTTGCATACTTTCAAATTTGTTATAAAATCATTTTTCAATATATGATTTTCAAAACTCATCGTAGTAGACTACTAAGCTTCAAAGGTTTATAACTCGGAGTGAAGGTCCCACACAACACTATCATTGCAACATTTGTAATTAGGAGACTTATAATATATACGAATATGTAAATCTATGCCAAATACGCACAAAATATGAAAAGAAATGTTTTGAGATGTGGATTTCTTATGAATTATCACATAATATAAATAGAGTATTTTACCAAACATCTTATATTGAATCTAAATTTTTTTATATATTGTATTTAAACGTAACTAATTTCCAATTATTGTATTCAAACACAATGTAGTGAACAAGATCTTATTTAAAATATTTATCTTCAATAACTTTGACTTTTATTTTACTAGCAATAAATGCTGAATTTTATTAAATCGTTAATTTTAAACTTGTTAGCTTTTTATGTAAAACACAATAATTAATTTCCTACAATCAATTTGTAAAATGTGCCAAAAAGCTACTACCTAAGCTCACTTTATGTCGTTTTAATAGTTTCTTTTTTGATGAATAACATCACAGTACTAAAATCAGTGAAGTATTTCATTAAATCGTTAAAATTTTATGTTTTTTTATATACAACATAGATTTCAAATAACAAAGCTATGTCTTTCATTCAAGAAAAATAAAACTCAGTGTCACTACTCATTCGTACGAGTATCTGTATATGTGGAGCAATCATCTTCAATTTCAATATTTACTAGAAATTGAAAGAAAATAAAGCTTGAAATCAATCCAATATTGAGTATAAAAATTTTGCATTTACAGCTAAATTGACAGTTCATTCACCTTAAAGTATTTACTTTTTCTGTTATTTGTTTATACATATTTTGTAACATAATATGTATATATATACAGATATATATATATATATATATATATATATCAGTTTATGAGTGCATAAATTTAAAAGATTTAGTTTCATGCCTCATGTGTAGTTATTACTTTTCCTTTCAAACCATCTTAAAATCTTGTTAGTACAAACGAGCTGATTTATTAAGTATGTTGACCTACAATAATTGTTTTCTTTTAAATGTATTTTCGGTAAATTTTGTGCTGGAGGGCAGTGAATTATTGAATTTTAGCAAAAAAAATATTAAATGAAAGAAATTTAATAACTGTTTGCTTTCGTCTTGAATTTTGACACGTTATTCTCGGTGATAAATGCGTTTATAACAATCATTAGATGAGTTATTATTAATGATGTTACTCGTACTCGTAAAAAATATATTCAGAAAAAATGGGAAATGAATAAATTGGGTAAATAAAATGTATTAAAACTTCCACAGAATAATCAACTAAATTAAAGTATAATAATAGATTTATTTTTAGTGATAACTTTTAAATTTTGACAAGTTAAACTGCATAGGACCTTTGAATAAATTTGTATGCAATTTAAATTTCTCCTTATACAATATATTTCATTGAAGAAATGTAACATAATGTTCCATAAAGCAACAATTTAATTTCACATTTTTTTGCTTCGACATTTATGCATGTTTTTACATTTTACTTGCCAAATTCTTCTCATTAGTCTTCTCTTAGTTTAATCACAAAAGATTTTTAACTATTTCTATCACTCGCTATAGCTCTTAGTTCATTGAAAGATTTCCCTGATTCTCTGTTGATTGTCCTTCTCAATGTCGTCTTTGGTCGACCACGATTTCTTCTTCCTTGTCGATTTCATTCTAGAGCCCATACTTTCTTTTTAAGATTTGGTCATCAATTAGCTTTTGTTCTGTTATACCCATAGTCACTTGTTCCTGATCGTTCTAGGTCAGAATATTCTTAAAATTTGTCTCAAGCATCTTCCCATTTTTAATATTTTCAATGTAAATTAGAATTTTTTGATTCCGTATACTCTTTGTTCACAATCATATGAATATAAAAATTAAAAAATATTTTCTAAACTTATCATTTCCAATATTGTGCCACCTAAAACAAATTTTGGACCTAATATAGTAGCGTTTTAAACTTATTATTCTATAAGTTTATATACTTACTGTAAATTCTAACTTAATTATCTAAAGGGTATTTAAATTTCAGCCATTATAAAATATCTATTAAATTCACAGTGCATAATGACTATTGGATGTCTTCTACAATGTCTAAGCTTACTTTTGCGCGTTCTTCAATATATTCTTAGTACTTAGTTGAACTTAATTTTCTCATTATCATTGCATATTAAACTAAGATCTTAAAATAACCCTATAATAATTTGAATCTTTGGTTTTAATTCTACGACTCAACTCAACTCTTACGAAGAGAATCGAAAGCTTTCTGATGGACATTTTATTACCAATATGGTCACTTTAAATTGAAAATCTTTAATAAGCTATTAATCTACTATTCAAATATTTTATATTAACTTTAAATTGAAAATCTTTAATAAGCTATTAATCTACTATTCAAATATGACTGAAGTTTCTCAGAAGTATTACAAATTCAGTCATAACAGTCTTTTAAGGACCAAATCATCATAGTCTACTATTATTGTATATTTTTTTGTTTGATTTTTCCATTTTCCATTTCAACCATTCATGTTCAACTACTGATTTAAGAATTATTGTCGTTCTGGGGTTGTATCCCGGTAATTAATTGATGTTATCTTTACGAAATATGTTTATATTTTAAAATAAATTTTACAACAAAATTATGTGGTTGTTGTAAATATTAAAAGCTGTAAATATTTATTGAAACTGTGTACTATAATTCAGTAGATAGAAATTTTTAAACAAATTAATTAAATAGAATAATAAATAGGAAGGCTGTGGGATAAGCTCATCAGCTTAATATAGCTTATTACAATATATATAATTAAAATAATCTTACATAAGTTGACTTTTTAACGTAATAAAAAATGAAACTTTTAATTATATATAAAAATATTATTTCATTATAAATTCATGGTTATAAATTATATTCTTCCTTCATTTAGAAAGATACATAGATTGAAAAACTATTGCGTCAAATAAATTCAATTTTTAACTATAAAAAATTTTATATGTAATATATATAAATAAAAAACTTGAAAATGTTTATTATAAGATATGATTGAAATTGAAATGAATTTGTATCTTTTTTGTTATATTTTTAAATTATTTTAATTTACTCTTTTAGTTGTCATCATGTGCGCAGATCCACAATCAATACGTCAAATCATGTTGACAGCTGAGGAGTTGAAAATGATCGATAGTGGCGAATATGTATTTATAAATATAGAATTGTTTTCACGGTAAGTACTTTGGAAAATCACATTACGTGCATGCTTAAATGTATAATATAATAATGAATCAAATAAAATATTCGAAAAAAAATTACATTTAAAAATAAAAAAAATACTTTTTTAACAAAATATGGATTGAATTGACAAAAAGTGTTTCAATAAAACAAATTTCTGGGAGATGGGAGAATAATTTAATTTGAGTTATTGTGTATATATCGTAAATTACATATTTAGAAATAATACTTTGAAACTTTGATTTAAAAATAAACTATAGCATCAAAATATTATCAATGTTCTAGTTGTCACCGCAGTTATCTATGACCCTGTAGTCCTCTTATCCAAGTGTTCCATATATTTCGTGATATTTCGTGACAATATGTTCCATATATTACATTGACAGCTCAATTTGCCCTTATCAGGTAAAAATATCATTACAATATTGTTTTAATTTGGTTTGATGATTGGTTTCCTATTCAAAATTTAGTCGTATTTATTGATAATACTTTACCGAGAATTTTAATAACTTTTACTGTTTAGTTACAATCTCATCAATTTGCTATGATATACATATCAATATAACAGTCTGACTTGTACATATGTATATATACCTACATTAAAATTTCTACGAGTAGAGAGTATTATTAAACAACACAATAATACTCTCTACTCTCTATATACGTTTTTCTTTACTGAAATGATTTTTTATTTTAATGAATATTAAAAAATTTAATGAATACTAAAATACAGTCATTAAACAAAGCAACTTATATTTAATATAAATATTAACTTTATTGCTTGTATGACAAAATATGAATTTAAAATATTTTTACAAATTCTACAATTAACATTTTTTAAAAATTATAAAAAAAATTTATAAAAAAATTTAATAAAAATATTTTAGTATCTATTTTTAGTTATTCACAACCAACAAACTATATACATTTATAATATATATATATACATTTGTACATTATATATATAAATCATTAGTTTGCTATTTTTAAAATGGTACGCGTGTTTGTTTTAATATTTTTTTTAAACATTCATAGAGGCTTGCGCTCACACTGCGCAACACCTAAATTGTAATTAAGTACGCCATAATTGTGCTTAATTAAACAACTCATGAGCAGCAATAAATCGTATTTGTTGGATTGTTAGATTGTTGGATTGTTGGATTGTTTTCAATACAAATGCGAACATATGTAAGCGATTATTATGAGCATGCATGGCATTCTTTCAGCTTGGGCGTTCCGAGCGTGTTTCGACTGAGCCCAAGTAGGCAACCAATTTAATATAAAAAATACTCGTAGTATTCTTTATACCATTATATGCGTAATTATTAATATAAGAATAACTTCATTCATATGATTCTATTGATTAATCTTAGTCATATTTTACAAATTGCGTTACAGAAAAATAGCACAAAAAATATATAGCACATATGTACATATAGCATGTAGGTATATGACATATTCAAATATTTATGATTCATATAAACAGCAAAGGTATCATAGTAAACTATTTCGCTCTTATTTTATAGGACTTATCAAGACTGTTTAATATATTTTTTCTTAGGGTTTTAAAAGTCACACATACTCTATCTCCATATCATACAAAAGGTGTGTTTGGAAAAGTGATCTGATTACCTTTTCTGGTCGACTCTTCAATATTTATTTCTTTCCACGGTGAACTCCACTATTATTTAGGTTTTAGTTATTTTTTACTCTTATGCTGTTGTTGTAAATTTTGTTGTAGACTGCGAGATTTATTGGTCAACGTTGTATATAATTTATGAATTCAATCTATTCATGTCTATTTTGAATTTTACCGCTTTAATAAACAAACAGCCCTCTTTGGATGAACGTCCTAATTTAATAAACATTACATCAACTTATTATTTGATATTTAATCTTTGCTAATTGTTTGTCAAATTTTTATTATCAATTCAACAAATTTTTAATTTATTTCCTTTTGACTAGGCTATCTACTGGGATTGTGTCAAAGAGAAATATAGTAGAAAGTATATCTTGAAGTTCATAAGTTGACCCTAGCAATGATCATATACAAATAAAGTTTTAATTTTACAGTATTATTAAAACACAATAAAATATCAGCCATATTAAAGATAATCATATGTTATCATTATCATATGTGTGGACTTAAATGTATTCAGACTTTATAACATAAAATAACCTATATATTATAAACAAAATACGACATACACAGCATCTTGTTCAAATGTATTAACTGAATAAAAATATTTAAGTAAATGTAGTATGCGGTTTATCATACGCAAAGGACGCCTATTGATGACACACAATTATATCTTTCTAGTCCGGTATTTATTTTCTCCAATTGCTTGTTATTCTGTATATAGGTCATTCTTTTACAAACCGGACGAATTTTAACAAAAAATGACCTCATGAACTCCAATTTGGCTAAAAATTTTTTTATGAGCTCTTTTCATAAAATTAAAAGGCCCGTAACTCTAAAAAAAATTTTGTAATTTTTTCCCTAGAAGATATGGATCCATGGGATTCTGAAAATTGGCATTGTAGACACATTTTCAAATGGCTATATCTCAAGCTCTAAAAATGGTAAAAATTTGAAATTTACTGCGTTTTAAAAACAATTGATTGAACTTTCAAGAAATTGTATAAACAATTAAGAGTGTTTATATTAAAGTACTAATATTAACCGTTAAATGCAAAAAAAAAAAATTTTCAAAACAAGTCCCCAGAATTTTAAATTTTTTATATATTATTTAGATTCAGTTTTAAATAAAAATTTTGAGAAATAAAAATTTTCAGGATAGCATTATATTTTGAAATTTTTAAAAATATTTTTTTTTTTGGTAAAAACTATCAAGCACATCTGTACTATATTTCCATTGAATGAATTTTCAAAGAATATACTACAAATATATAGTAGTATATTCTTATATAATATTCTTATATAATATTATATAATATATATTCTTATATTCTTATAAGAATATATATATTCTTATATTCTTATATAATATTTCTGATTTCGATTAGTAATAAAATTCTACATAAAACCCAAAACTTTCAGGACGATATTGTCCTTTGAAATACTTCTAAAAAATTAATTTATTCTTCACATCACATTAAACACATACACACGATTTTTCAATAAAAAAATGAGGAATATGTTTTTTATTTTAATTCGAGTATTTTGCTTTTAGAAGTAATTAAAAAAAATTAATTTATCAGGTGTCCTTCACATAATACCATAAAATCAATTTTTCAAGAAAAACGACACAGAGACGACTTATTTTTATTTGATTTCATGTGATAATATTTTTTACTTTCGTTTTTTATTAGTATTTTTTTTTGTTATAATAAAGCAAAAATTAAATATTTAGTGAATACCAAATTTAATATATGATGCCACATATATTAATAATGTATATAATAATGTATATATTATTGATTTTTTAGAGCTGTGAAACAGTTTATATAGATGCTTTCTACCACAGCCCTCAGCTACCACCACGTGTACCCTAGGGCGGAAATTGAAGCTTTGCAAACGAAAAGAAAATCCAACGTGTCAGTTTGATAGAATTCGTTAATAGACCGATATTATTCATTGCCTAACTGTAGCGTTGAAGTTAGGCAAAACTGTCGCTTTATACGATAATGTAACACATTAATATCATGAATATTAATTAATTAATATTTAATAATTCTTATCACATAATCTTCATTATATCTAAATAGTATTTTTTTTGCCAATTTGTGTGAAATAAATTCTGGATGTAGTACATCCACAACGAAAACAATTATCATCGTTTGAATTTTACAGCGATTTTAGGTTGTTTTCCCGGATCTGATTTCCGTCCTCCATTGTAATAATTGTTAATTTGTTTCAACGTTAACTCTGTGAACTTAATAATAATATGTTCAATAAATGCGAAAGCAGAATTGATACTATTATCCAGCTTATTTAAGGTGTGTGGAGACGCTGATGTGAGGAATAATTCAGCACTTTTAGATGAAGATATACGACGGCGTGTATTCATTTCTAAATACTCATTTCTAAATGACGAGTTAAAAATCGCACAATAATACATACAATAATACCCACTTCCCCCAGTGAGACACAGGTCCTCAATAATTCTTCTAATTCTGTCTCTATTTGGTGCTTCTCTATATATGTCGTGCATTATATATCATGCTTCGTCTGATTCACTTTTGACCGTCCTTCTCCATGTTTTCGTTGGCGTACCAGGTCTTCTGCTATCTTGTGAATTTTATACCAATGCTTACCTCGCTATATAATTTCTCGGTTGTGTAAGCATATAGCCTATCCACTTCCACTTTCTCATTGTTATCTCAATTTATGCTGCTTTTTGAGTCGTTTGGTTCAGCAGGCGTTACTTTTATTTTCTATCTGGCCATTATATTTTGTGAATTGTACATAGACACTTGTTGACAAAAACTTCTATCTCTCTCTACATGTCTGAAGTGCTTTCATGTTTCGCAGCCGTAGCTCAAAATAGGTTTCACATTTATGTTAAAGTTTTGTAGTTTAGTCTGCCTTCTGAGTTCACTGGATCGCCATATGTTTTTAAATTTTCCAAACAAAGTAGGATATAATGAGCGAATTCTAGATCTTGTAGACACTCAAACAATTCCCATCGGAAACCCCCGATTTTTTTTTTCTCTACTGAGAGTATCATCTATCGTCTATCGATAGATCTATCAACATCATCTCAAAACCGTGCAATATGGAACAGCAAATCAATCATTTCAGTGAAAATATTGTAAACATTAAACAATAAATCTAATTTAATGCTAATATTATTTAAAGCGACTCTGAACTGTACTTTATTTTTAACTCAAAAACGTATTTTCCACCACTTTTTTTTAATTCTTACAAATTTTAATAATAGAATCTTAAGCACCAGCACGATTGTCTATTAAAATCCATGTGCAAACATCTGTGGATCAACTTCTCATGTTTAGTTTTTTAAGCCTAGAGGGGCTTTTATTGTTTGTTTAGTAATTACACTTTAATTATACCCATAATTATAGTTTAACAATTAATATTGTGCTACAAAACTTTTGCTTATAATTAATTATAGTTTTTTACTTTAATTTAATAATAAATATTCTTGATTTTTTGCGCTATTTTTAACTATAAATATTGATGGTAAATTGGAGTATGTTTTATATCTTAAAAGTAATGTTTTTTTTTTGTTTAATTTTATTGTAGTTACCAAAACAGTATCTATTATTTATTAGTTTTTTATTTATATACATTTATACATTTTTATTGTATACATTTAGTTGTTTGAAAAAATTGTTAGTAATATTATGTTGTCCTTGAATATATATGATTGAAAGAAATAAAATTTTTACGACCTATTAAAAGTAATGGGAGTTAAGTAAACATAAGTATCATAATTTATTGATTATTATATAATTGTAGAAATAAATGCAAAAAATTCTGTGAATTTTTTAAATTTTCTTAAAATAGATTCAAGAATATCCGATAGGTAAACAATATATAGGAAGCAAAATATAAACAATATCAATAATTGAACATTTTAAGAATTTAAATGTAATTGTTTTATTTCCTATGACTACAAAAAATTTCACTGAAAAATATTTAATAAATGGTTATATTAATTTTTAATATATTTTTAATAATTTTTACTATGATTTGCAAAATAAAAATAAACCTTTAGAGAGTGGAGGCATATATAATAGAAAATTGGTTGCCAATTACTAGAAACGTTTATACCAAATATATAAACAAAAGTTAAGTTACATTTTATGTCTGTATTAGATTAAAAAAAAATATATAAAGATGTATTTCGAAAAGTAGTGAACTACATCAACATAAATTCATTTTATATTGTTTTAATTAATTGAATTTTTGGATGACCGTACAGCTGTTTCGAGTATTGCCAAATACCCATCATCAGTGGTCTTAGAAATAATTCTTATATTTAATTATTCGTAAATAATTTTTTGAGACTGCAAGTACCAGAAATCGTAGTCGTGCCCTGCCAAATTTAAAGCTCAGAGTCAGCGCTCTTTCACCAACGGATCCAAAGTCCTACTTGACTTTAATGTTCGCACATTTTGCTGGAGTTGTGTTAATTTTCTGTGAAAATGTTATTAACAAATTCACTTGCTGTGTTTATATTAGATCGAAATCATAAACCAGCTGTAGAATAATTCAAATAATTAATTACTTTTTTATTTTTAATTTCTAAAATTTCAATACTATTCTGTTTGTAGACGCATGAGTTTATTTTATATTTCTGAAATTTATATATAACACATTTTTGTTTTAGATATATATTAAAAAGAATTTACACTCAAAATAATATTACATATGAATAATAAGAAAAATATGAAAAATGAAGACATTTTTAGGAATTAAACTTTTATGAAAGAATTTTTTTTAAGCTTAAATATTTATGACATATGTAATACAAATTTTAAATGGATTTAGAAAAAATATAAAAAACAAATAACTTAACTGAAACATTAGCATAAATAATGTTTCTTTTCTTAAAAATTAAATATCTCTAACAGATAAATTTTCTTAATATGTGTATTAGCATAAATTCCAGCACATCTGCAAGAACAAATTTAACCCTTTTTACACATATTCGCTAATGGCATTTCGCATCCGGTGCAAAAGTGTGAAATTTGTCAAAAATACACATTTACTTTTTTACGTAAAGTTCCGTTGGGAATTTCGGAAATTTAGTGAAATATAATAGATCATTTCAGCGGAATGTTTGAAATATTTTTTCAATTTAATGATTTGCAACATATTTGCTTTTTTTACATATGGATATAGAAATTAGAAATGAAATGGATACAGAAAAAGATACCGAACAGAAAAGTTTTAATAATCTTGTTTAAGTTCTATTGTTATAGTTCCAGAACCATAAAACTATCTAAGTATTTATTTTTCCTTAAGAGTTTAAGAAATAAATTTATAGAAAAGATTAAACAAAGCTTTATAATATATAAATTATACATAGTATTAATTATAAGTTGTACCTATATTATTGCAATTCATGTAAAATAAATAATGTCCAACTGTAATTAATTAATATTTTTTGTGCCATAATTATACAGTATTATAGATTAAGATTAAGAAAAAAAAACTATAATTATTTTACATTAGATAGAAGACATTTACATAGACGGTTCCATAATAGACAAATGAGTTGGCTGCGGCATCTTCTCTGAAAGACTGGGTCTTAATTTCTGCACTACATTATGCTGTAAAATGAGTTCTTGTCAAACAACTATCCGATGAAACTATTTCAATCTTCTCAGAAAGCCAAGCTGCCATTAAATCACTTCAGCCACATCAATCATAATTCAAAACTGCCGTGTTTCCCTCAATGGCGTAGCTAGGTGCATGAACATTGAACTTATTTGGGGTTATGAACAATTACTGAATGGATAAGCTTGTCAATACAGACGCTCTTCTCCCTAACATTCAGCTAAACTGATAATTAAACAAAAATATCTAAGTATAGCTAATCAACACTGGGCTGATAAATCCAGCTGTCAGATATCTAGATTGACTTGGTCTAATTTGGACTAAAAACGTACCAGTCAGCTACTGCAACTAAAACGGAACCTGCTCAGCACTACGGTATCGGTGCTGACGGGCCACTGCATAATAGGGAGGCATGCTATAAGACTAGGTGTTTCCTATAATAACCTTTGTTACGAATATGATTTTGAGAACGAGGAGTAAACTGCGTTTCATCACATGTGTTACTGCCCATGTCTAGATAAGAAAAAATCAAAACTCTTGTCGCCCACTTTCCTTACTGATCTGACTGAGCTGTTATCTTACAATATTAAAGACAGCCGAATTCATATAATAAGTTTGTTTACCTTTACCTAATGGGGAGTCATTGCCTTTTTCGTTGTTGGTCATATACTGACTTTCCAGTCTATGTACGAACCAACGCTATTCCTGTGATACCATAAACAGCCATTAATTGTACTCACATGGGCTTTTTTGGTACCCAAGGCCGCCACTGTAATCTAACCTAACTTATCTGAAATCATTTCAATGCCATCAAAATAAATATCTTGACACGACTCAGGAGAAGTCGATAACTGATGGGTTCCGCTGATAATGGATAAATTATAAACGGTTTCATTAATGATTGATTCCCTAAAGTGGTCTATAAATTTTTAATTTTTTTATCCGTTTCTTTTTTTAAATGTAAAATTTTATTAAACATAGTCTTTATTTTATACTCTAATGCAGATAGAAAAAGAAAAGTAACTTTATAATACCAATGAACATATTATTTAGTAAATAAATAAAATAAGTGAAAAGAAATATTGCCGCATTGAAGAACGTGCTTATGCGAAAATTAATCTATTTAAATTGAATTATTTTTATATTTTTCCTACCATAACTTGACTAAATCTGCAGAAAAAATACCTAAAAAAAGATACAAAAAAGTATATTTCCTTTAAACTTTAGTATTTAAAAATTTTATGTTATTTAAAATTTTTTATATCCTTTTTTTATATGTCATTGCAGCTCACCAAACATAACATCTCAGCCATGGTTTGACAAAAATGATACTGCGGAGAACAATGAACGTGCTCGGAAAGCTTACACAGCCATGTTAACAGTCACACCGAAGCAGCCAAGCGGTAGCGAATACACAAGGGTCTCCGAGGAGGTTAGTATATGTTAATATGAAGTATTAACTCTTTTCAAATACCGAATATGTAATTGTTTGGCATTTCAACATATGGCAACAATGAGAACAATTTCAACGATATTGTGTCGCTGTTTTCCGAATTTAATATACAAGATTTATAGTTCAGTTTTTTGCGTAGATAAGGAAAATAATTTATTTTGCATTATTATTTCTGCATTTTAAAGCAAGAAATGCATTAACCAAAATACAATAAATGCATTACTCTACTACACATACGAATTAAAGACTTTTATTACTACATTTTCAATATTCTTAATGACTTATTTATTATATGTGTATCTTTTAAACCTATTAAACCTATATCAGTTGCGGTTCTATTAATGAAAAAAATAAAGTCATAGATAAGATAAATTATTTCAATAATAATAATAATAACCGTAATATTTATCACTTGTGATGCAATATTAATAATCCCTTTATCTTGCTTATTATTTATATATAAATGTATTCGTTTTATATACACGTATGTTATGAATTTTTATTTATTTTTACTTTTGTAAAATTGTTAATGAAAATGCAATTAACTTATATCTATTTATAAGAAGTGAAAATACACGAATATTTTTTGTTTCACACAATTAATAATTATAGTATTAATACAATTAAAAAATCGTACTTATGTAAATGCGTTCATTTCAATATCACACAATTCACAATTAATAGAATAGATCTATCTACCAATAGAACACAATTATTGATTGTATGTAGTATTAACATAATTAAGAATTCGTACTTATAAATATGCATTTATTTCAATATCGTTCAATGATTAAGTATACTTTGACATTATATATTAACACGTAAGTCCACGGATTAAATTTGACAGAATTGAATTTCTGACAGTTGCAGCTCAAAATTATATTCTGACAACTTAACCAATAGATCTATCCAAAGAACACAGATGATTGGCGATATTCAAATCAGAGGTATTGTCAGTCTAATAATTTAGTTAATTAAAAATTAAAGAATTGTATATTTGAAAAGTTCCTCACTATTACACTCTTTTTCATTCGAATTGAATTTTTTTCCATTAAAAATAATCCATTATAATATAATCCATTATTTTTTTCCATTATAAATCAAAATATGATGTACTGAAAACATAACACATGGGCCATGTGACTTCAAGTTTAAGTATGGATTTAGAATAGAAGGTTCTAGGCACTCCAGTGTGCCGGCCAGCACTTAAAGGAGAACAGTGAATAAAATTATGCAAATTATTTATGAATCGATATCTGACAACAGATCAAGTCAACTGTTAGTGAAATTTGTTGTTCTTTGAGTATCTTTTTGAATTTGAGAATTTGATAAAAGTCTGAAGTATCTGAAGATTACAGGAGATGCGGCACTACATTGGTGTTATATTATAACACGAACTTTTGATTAAAACCATATTTTGGAATCAAATATGGCTTTGAAGATCATGAGCTCATATCTCTACTATATGCTTGAACATATACATGCAGTTTCCTGACTTGCTTAAAAGAAGAGTTTGTATTATAAGAATACATTGCTTGTAAAAAGATTGATTAGTTTTCAAATCCTAGCAGTAACAGATCTTAATTTCGATATCAGTAAATAAATAGGAAATAGTAAATAGTTTTAAAATCCAATCAACAACCATCTTTAGTATCACAAAAATTTATCACGTATTTTGATTAAAGTAACAAATAAAATTTCTACTTTAGTAGTAACTTTAAATTTTAAATAACACTAAAAATAACTAAAAACACTGGAAAAAACGGACACATAATTACACATAATTTGTTTCTCTTCAAAAATTCAATGCCACTACTCTGAGATACAACTCTATTTATTTCACTAATTACCAATTTAGTTATTTGAATTACTTATTACAAAATGTATTTCTTGCAGATAAAATCAATAGCTGCAGCTAAATATAATTATACATTCCATGATAATGAACCGATATCAACATTTGTCACATCATTTTATGATGGTGTCCTTCTCTATGCAAATGCTTTGAATGACAGTATCCGTGAAGATCCTAGCGTACTTACACGCCCCATTAATGGTACGGACATGGTAAGGCGCATGTGGAATCGCAGTTTCAAGGGCATTACTGGCAATGT